TGTGTGTGTGTGTGTGTGTGTGTTTGTGTGTGTTAAAAAGTTTGTGTGCGCAGTTTTGAACGAGCCAGTCGTACATGTATGTCCTTTACAGCCATTATGACTTGACAGTATTGTATGTAAATTAGTGCCACATTATAATATATGCATCTACAGATGTTTGGACCCCGAGAGGCAAAAGCTGCTGTGATCGACGAGAGTTTCAACTCACGATACCCCCAAGACATAGTCTATTTCGAGACAAACCACAACTTTTACGATACATTAAAGAAAATCCCTGCCTTCCAAAAGCAGCTGGGGCACCCTCAAAGATGGCGAGTTCACGCTGAGGCATGGCTTAAACTTATGCAGCCTACGAGGGAACTTCGTTCTGCTCTCAACAACCAACTTATCAAAATAGTTCGAGCGCAGCGCGAAGAACAGAAGGCATTTGCGAATTTCGACACACGCACATGCAACAAAAGCTGTATATCAACGGTACAGGCGTCAAATGGCTCTCAAATTAATGTTGACTCTGGAAATTCAAGGACATGTAAAGATGGTAATATTGGAGGAATTCAAACGAGGAACGAGAATGGTACTACATCAGATACCAGAACTCCAACAAATCACAACAAGAATGAGACCGAAGCAGTGACTGAGGAGCTGTCCACCTCAGATTTGTGTCGTTTCCCCCCGCCTCAAGTCAAAAATACAATACCCAAGGACAAAATCCGGCAACTCAGTGGTCATCAGGTGGTGAATTTAGGCCTTGTCTGTGTTCACGTTCGAATGGGTAAAAGCGAAACGTTGAACAGAGACGGTGGAGGAGCTAGGAACAAGCCGGAATATCTGCCAGCGCTTTGGAACTTTCTTCGAACCTATGTCAACAAAGGCCACCACGTGTACATTGCCACAGATTCTCAGAAGGTTTGTCTTCCTTACAGTTTGCTCAGGTTGTTTCCTTTCTCAGTTATTTGTTGTTGTTGTTGTTGTTGTTTTGTTTCTTTTTTCCTATCTTCACGTCTTAATCTGTCTAAGACATCATCATGGTACTTTGAGTAAATTGTTTCTTTGGCATGGATAAAGTTACCGTCTATGCTGAATAAAACATTTCGACTACCGTTTGTGCCTTTCTCTTCTACGTTCGTTTTACTTGTGGTATATTTTTATAAGGACTCTTCTTATGATATAGAGAACAACTTAAAGAATCAGAACACGACATGAACAACAAAATGGATAGAGATGATGTGAATCAACCTGAAATTGTTTTTATTTTTGTTTTGTGTTTTGGTTTTTTGGTGGAGAAAGGGTGGTTGGCGATTGGGGGGAGAGGGGGCTTTGTTCTAAGTCCATATGCGTTAGTATACTTTTCTTGTTTATGTTTTTTTCGTTTATGTCTATAATATTTGTTCTTCTTTTTTACAGGGGTTATGGTGGGGGTTTTTTTAGTTGTTTCTTTTTATTGGGGTAAGGGTTTTGGGTTTTTTCTTTTTTGTTTTTTGGAGTGGTGGTTTTTGTTTGTTTGTTTGTTGTTTGTTGTTTTTTTTTGGGGTTTTTTTGTATTACTGTTTGCTTGGGTTTTTTTTCAGGGGCGAAGGTATATTGCAATGGAATTCTGGTGTGTCTGTTTGCCATGATGTTTTCAGATACAGCGTGCACAGCGGTACATAAATGTTTTTATTATTGATGTGTTTATACCGGTTCTGTCTTCTCTGTCTGCACCCCCCTTCTCTCTCTCTCTCTCTCTCTCTCTCTCTCTCTCTCTCTGTCTCTCTCTCTCTCTGTGTGTCTCTCTCTCTCTCTC